GGCCTTCGGCTCTGAGTTTAGACAAGGAGCCGCCAGCAGAAGGGATTCACAAGGCTGTGCGTGTGCATGCGTGTGTGTGTTAGATGCAGGTTTCACAACATGTTGAACCTCAAGTCTCGTCCCCTTGTCCGTCCTCCCGCGTGTTGTCTGTCCACCAGGGTTCCTTCTAGCCGTCCAAACACTCGGCTACTTCTCGTAGTCGTCATTTGATGCTGGCGTCCAGATCCCGCGGGGACGGGAATTCTAAGAATGTGGGCGTCGTCTCGCTTCCTTTTATTGGATTTCCAGCCCGGGGGCTTTTTCTCCACGCCGGAGGTTACCAGAGTAACTCAACACCGAGCCGGGGAGCGTTCCATTTCGCTGATCTCTTCCGGGCAAAGCTCCCGACTTTGGCCACGCCCCTCTGCAGTGATGTCACAGTGCGCTGGCCGCACCCTAAGTGCACTTGCGCATCCCAAAGCCCCGCCCCTTCCATTGATCCACCATGGGACCTTATTTCATTAAATGTGTTCTGGAATAAGTGTGGCGACGCCTGGTCGTACAAATGTGTGTGTGTGTGTGAGGACACTGTGCTGTGGCGTCGACTTTGATTGAGCTCAGGAGACGAGATGATCGACCATAAATGTCAGCGTGTAGAAGATAAAGGGAAGAGTTGAATAAATTGTGATACATGGATGTGGTTGAATGTACATGAATGTTGAAATGTCACAAATGCAGTATTCCAACTTTACTTGTTTTGTATATGCTTCAGTAAACGACCACACAGCCCATGTGAAAGGTGGGCGTGGTCATTGTGACGTCACCAATTGGTTTTGTGGTCAGATTTCAAAGCCTCATCCAGCAAACTGCCTGTCGCCATCTTGTTTTTCCATATTAGGACTGCGGAGGAGTAGAGGCTGTCAATCAGCGTGTAGCCCCGCCCTTAAGCATCCCCTGCTTTATGGTCTATTAGACCTGTCAATCAGCATGTAGCCCCGCCCTAAAGCATCACCTGCTTTATGGTCTATTAGACCTGTCAATCAGCGTGTAGCCCCGCCCTAAAGCATCCCCTGCTTTATGGTCTATTAGAGACCTGTCGATCAGCGTGTAGCCCCGCCCTAAAGCATCCCCTGCTTTATGGTCTATTAGACCTGTCAATCAGCGTGTAGCCCCGCCCTAAAGCATCACCTGCTTTATGGTCTATTAGAGACCTGTCGATCAGCATGTAGCCCCGCCCTAAAGCATCCCCTGCTTTATGGTCTACTAGAGACCTGTCAATCAGCGTGTAGCCCCGCCCTAAAGCATCTCCTGCTTTATGGTCTACTAGAGACCTGTCAATCAGCGTGTAGCCCCGCCCTAAAGCATCACCTGCTTTATGGTCTGTTCGAGTGTAAATGTACCAACATTTACTAAATGAACATCACGCTGTATCGAAGACTTTTGGATTAATACAATAATTAACGAGGCCCAATGGAAACTGGGTAAAGATCCCCGTACCACAGACGCCATTAAGTCCTTTTTATCGCTTTAAAATAGACTCGGGGGGGTCGAGTGATCTGACTCCGGGCTGATTGGCAGCGTAGGTGGTTGATTAGTTCGGTCCAGATTACATGGACCACTGAAGTCTGATTGGGCTGAGTCAGGGAAAAAGTTGAAAGCTGAGTGTTTCCTCCATTAGGTGTAATTAGGGGCTGTGTGTGGGTTGGTGGGGTGGTGGGGCGGGCGGGCGGCGGCTTGTCTCCTCTAAAGTTTCTCCTCATAATCAACCTTCCTTCAAACGGCAGCTCGGAGAACTCTGAGTGCTGTGAAACTCTCCTGAAGGTCCTGAGGATTCTCACACTAGAGCTAAAGACCAATTTCACAATATGTATTAATAATTAAGTGTATATTTATGTAACTTTAAGTACGTTTGTCATTCGCTTCTCATACGACAAAACACACTCAAATTATTACAAAACACAAATTGAGATGTAACATTCCATCTACACACACACACACACACACACTTACCTGTGGGCGCTTTGGGGGGAAACTGCAGCTGTGACACTCCGACAAAGTATCTAAAAAATAAGAAACTTTGATTATCAGAGAGCAATCTTCCTCATTCACCTTCATCTATAGTGGTTATAGCTTGAATACTAAATCTTATTATATATAATTCAGCATTTAATAGAATATTGTATGAAGAGTCTGGAATTTGAATTCAGACACAGTAATGCTGGACAGACGGAGAATAAAAGTAGCAGAAGGATGAGGAAGTAATAGGAAATAATATAAAATTATATATATATTCTACTAAGACCCTCGTCCGTGAATGTGCTGATGCTCTTCAACTGGTGCTGGATATGAAAATAAATACATGTATGAAATGTGATCCGTGTCTCTTATTAAATCCCAGCATTCAGAGGGAGAATCAGCGGCATTGAGCGGCTTGAATGCGCCGCTGATGAGGCCTCCTGCTGATAACGGCTCTTTCACAGAGTCTTTGGAGGGTTTTGATGGTGTGTTTTTAGGAATGTATAATCTTTGTGCTTGATTGAGCCGGGTCGGGGGGTCGGGTGGGGGGGGGGGGGGTGATGGAGGCTGCAGTCGCCCCTTTGGGATGAGACTCTGTCTCCAAAATCTTTTAGATAATTTCTGCCCTTTTAAAAACACCACAATCCCCAAAGCTAATATAAGAGATAAAGTGCTGTCAGGAATGTGTGGAATGAAGCGAGTCGTCCGTGTGCAGGGACACTTCCTGTCCCAGTGTTTGAACCAAGCAGCTAGCGCACTGCATTGTGGGATATTCCATCGGGCAGTTTGTCCTGCTTTCGTTGGTCAGGTTGAAGCTCCCCGGCCCACGACATTCCAGGGGTCACAGTAAACCACGAGGGGCCGGAAACTGTGTGTGTGTGTGTGTGTGTGTGTGTGTGTGTGTGTGTCACATGACACTAAACAGAAGACCTCTGCTTTGCTTCCCGTTGAGGAGGTGTGTGATGTTTCACGTGTGTGTGTGTGTGTGTGTTTGTGTGATGTTTCACGTGTGTGTGTGTGTTTGTGTGATGTTTCACGTGTGTGTGTGTGTGTGTGTGTGTGATGTTCGCAGTTGAGATGTGTGTGTGTGCGTGCGCATAACTTAATTCCACAGGGAAGCCAAAGCGCCTCAGTTTCCTGTCCTAATTGCTCAAAATCCTACACAAATAAGCCTCTACACACACACACACACGCACACACACACACACTAATGCGCACGTCCCACTGTCACATCTACACACCCATGTATAGAAAGGACTTATGGAGCAGTAAGTTTTAACGTCCATCATTTGTTTTGACGTAATGACTCGTTAATCTTCTTCGCGGTATTTAAACACATTTATCATTTTCACTGTTTATTTAGTTTAATCTTCGTCTTTTTCCTCGACTCTCTGCGTCTTCACAGTGTTTCGCCTGTGATTGTTCGCCGTTATCGTGCACCCGTAAGTCGCTCTGAACGGTTAAACGGGACAAACCGATGAAGTCACTTTTGGTTTTGGGAGTTGAGCATTTTTTTTTTTTTTTTTGTAGTAGAATCCAGAGAAGAATGAAGCTCCTGAAGGACACTTCTGGATCAGAGAGAAGAAACTCATTTTAAAGACGTTTAGTCACATGACCGACGTGGAGAACGAGTCGCTGACATCATCGCTCACATTGAGAGGATTATTCTTTGATCCAATATGAGTCGTTATTGGTTAAACACGACCAGACAAAGTGGTTCACTTGGCGGCCGGTTAGTTGTGTCCTGAAGAGAAGAAGGAAATGATGAAAGGGCAGAGGAGGCCGAGCTGAGAGAAGAACGCACAACTACCTCAAAGTGCGTCTTTGAACTCTTAACAAGATTGTCTTTGTTAGAACGAGGCTCCTCCTCCTCCTCCTCGTGATGGAGGAAGAGTTACGCTGCTTTTGTGTGTGGGGAAAAAAGCCGCCTGAGATGAATATTCATTTTTCATCTGTGGGTTTTTCGAGCGACTTCGTGGCCGATGGAAGGAAACATCGCGCCGACTGATGCTTCGCCATCTGGATGTTCAGATGCGAGACGCTCGAACATATGGACGCACACGCGTGTGAAACCAGTCGGGCACATGGCTCTTTGAGATATGGTGCGGACAGACGGGGCCCATTCTGTTGCATCGCACCGAGGGCCTCGGCGCTGACACAAGTGCTGCCAAACAAACTAACAAACGCGCAAACGCACACGCAGCGCCTCGGCTCGCGGCCCACTTTGCTGCTTGTTTCAGCGAACAGGCGGCGTTCATCTGTGTTCCTGCAGGAGAGCAACGTCTGCCGGAAGTAACCGAGTACTTTGGTATTTTCATTCACTGAGGTTCACTTTTGACGCGTCACAAAAGGTGGAAGGAGCCTTTTGTTCACGTCGGTGGAATGAAGCGCGTTTGCGGCCTGAATCTGGTCTTGTGACGGGTTCCTTCAAGCGGTGACCAGAATCCTCCTAAAGAGCCTCTTGGAGTCACACAGCTTTGTTCTTCTTGGAGAACCCGGGAGACTTTATAGAATAATGAAGTAGATTAAAGGAACCATATCGTATCAAGGGTTGTGCTGCTCGATCAATGTTGCGGTGGAGTATTTTCAAAGTAAAGTACTGGCTTGTACCTGCTCTGTGTTCCTCTCGCTGTGTCGGTGTCTTCTCATTATGGAGATTACTTCACTAATTGATTCCTCTTTTATCCGCTCAGTGAAAAAGTCCCTTTTTGTTCCGGAGCTTTTGCGCATGAACGCGATCGTTGGGAGAGAAGAACCGAGACTCCTCATTGTCACAAAGGAAAAGGCCTTTAGTTTGATTCATGCGCTGATCGGTGGGCCTGTTTTAAACGGGAGCTTATTTGTTATTATTCCAGGCGGCAAAATGCTTTTCTCTTTTTTTTTTAGTGAATTAATTCCGTTTAATGAACATTGCTGTAAGTGTTGTGTTATTAACTAACCCGAAGCAGCTCGCTGATATTAAAGTGCACACACACATAAACACACTTTTTGTTTGTTCCTTGTAGGAGAGCAAGGTGGTCGATGACATCAGAGATCCGCGGCCTGAACGCTGATCAGGTAACGAAGCGTTTCACCGTACGGACTTCTGCTCTGAAATGGTTCTTTTTGTAAAGGTCAAACTACTTTGTCTTCACGTATTTGTTTGCATCATTTGTCCCGGGGGGGTCGTGAATTTGTTTTCGGTGTGTGTGTGTGTGTGTGTGTGTGTGTGTGTGTGTAATTGGAGGCTTCAGGCTGTTTTACAGAAATGAATTGTTGCAGAGACCCGTCTGCCCCGTCTCACATATCAGACAATTACTGACACACACCCTCCTCTCCTATTGTGCCCCTTCTCGCTTTAATGTACAAAAACAACCAACATCACAGTCTTCTTCTTCTGTGGTATGAATGAGAACGGCGGACAAAGAAAAACCAACAAAAGAATAAGAACAAACAATTTCAACCGTAAAAGTTGAATTTAACCCTGAAGAAGAAATGTCCTCAGTTCATAGATTCAAAGTAATTCTCATGAAAGACACACACACACACACACACACAGTTTGTTTGTCCACAAACACACATCACAGGGTCTTGGGGACAGACATGTCCCATCTCGCGTCCACATTGTGTTGTCAGTTCATCCTTTGTCCTGCTTTGCATATCTGTGAGACCGTTCAGCCCTGATTGTAGACTCTTCCTGGGGGGGGACGGGGGGGACGGGGGAGGGACGGGGGGGACGGGGTTCCAATCCAGGCAGGTTTGAATGGAGAAAAAGAACCAGAGCTTCATTCTCGTGTGTGTGTGTAACGCTGGGTGGGGTCGCGTTCTGGGGATCACACCCAGCTCTGACGTAGCTCGGCACAAAGCGTCGCTGGCGGGGGGAACAAAACCAGCCGATGGCTCCATCATTAAAGTGGGTGGAGTTATGTTTGGAAGGCGCTGATTTTAACCGAAACACGTGACCCGCCTCTCAATGACCGCTGAGGGTGGAGAAGATGACGTGTGACTCCGGGTGGAGAAGACGACTTGACAATGGTGGAGACATGGAGAGGTCTTAACTTTGATTTACTTGATATTATTTGGAAGTAGTTGCATCTTTAACTCTTAACTATTTAGCGCTTTAGCATCTGGGCCGTCTTCAGTTCGGGTCCTTTTTATTCTTTGTGCGAGATACGTTTTCTACCACAAACACAATGCGCAGTGATTCTGTCCATTTAAGGCTCCTACGACAGTTTATCCTTTCAGAGGCTTTTCCATCCTGCAAAGAATCAGTTTACTGGTGATGCTCATCGGTTGTATTAATATAAATATATAGATATCTATGTAGGTTAATTGGTAGACGCATCAGTCCAGATGTGCCGCCTTCATCTTCAATTAAATCCGCCTCCCCTTCTGTCTTCCAGCCATCAGTTTTCCTCTCGCCTCCATGTTTTTAATACAGCCCCCCCTGCACCTCCACCCGCTCGGTTGTGTTAAACAATGTGTGCGTTTTATTGGTTCTTGTTCCCTTTAAACCGCTTTGCTTCCTCAGCCTTCCCAGGGAGCTTGTACCACGTCGCTCTGAAAGCAAACAACCGTGTGTGTGTGTGTGTGTGTGTGTGTGTGTGTGTGTGTGTGTGTGTGTGTGTGTGTGTGTTCATATATCCATTTCTCACGCTCGCAGTCATTCATCACTGCCTCACACTCGAGGTGTAAAGACCTGGCTGGTGAAGTTCTGCTCCGCTCTGGTTTGTTCCTTTTTAGCTTTTGTCTTCTGGAAAAAAACGGTCCAACCCGCAGTCATAAAGGCTCAAATGTTCCTTTAAATGTTCCTTTGTGTCTGGCCCGTAACCATCACTGTGCTTACAACGGAAAACCTAAATATACATGTGCATTTGGGATTTGGACTCGCCACGAGGGAGCTGCCTGCTCGGGACCTGAAAACGCTCCGGTCTGAGGTTCTGACCCGACTCAGCAGAGCGACACACCTCGAGCGATAAACTTGGCCTCGGGACGTAGTCCAGATGTGTAAAGAGGAGGAAGACCCTCGACTCTCGAGGCTTGTTTGGACTTTAAGGCTCTGACTCACATTTGACTTGGAGTTCTCCTGGTTTTTGGTTCTGCAACAGTTATGGAATTTGGTACCAAACACCAGATTCAGTCCAGAAAATAAACCCATGAACTCGAAGCCGCATCGGTCCAACTGTGAAGAGATGAATTTCTCCAGAGGTTCAGTAAACAGAACCATGAGGGGAGCTTTCAAGGAGGGTTCATCTTCTCCATCACTTATCTCCCCAGGTCTGCTGCTGCTGGGGTGTGTGTGTGTGTGTCTGTGTGTTCGTCTGAATGTTGTTTGCATTTCAGTGTGTGAAATATGAGGGCCGGAGGTTTGACTGGAGTCCATCTTTATCTCCACACACACACTCACACAGATGGTGAACATCTCCTCAGACCTGAGGAAACTGTGTGTGTCCGTCTTCTTCATTAAATCCCTCATTGGCTCATTAATCCAAAGCCTTAATGGTGCTGAGAGATGAAGGAGAATTGAAAGAACAGTAGAATGTGGGAAGAAGGAAAAGAAGACTGAGTTAAAGGATGGAAGGAAGGGAGTGAAAGAATAATGTGAGTGAGTAAGGAAGGAGGTAAGGGAGGATGGAAGGGAGCGAGGGTTGAAGGAAATAAGCATCAAATGAAAAAAGGAGTGAATGATTGAAAGAAGGATGGAAGAGAGGAGTGTGTGTGTGTGTGTGTGTGTGTGTGTGTGTGTGTGTGTGTTACAGGGCGTGGGTGAAGGCATGATAAATGTGTGGTTTGTTTTCTTCTGTGGCTTGTGTCTCCTTCGTGCAGCAAAGCTCTTTTTCTTTTAGCTGCGCCGCGTGTAGCTACGCAATTGGACCAAAAAAGAAGTTAGTCTGCTTTTTTTGTTCTTCTAAATATGTTCATTGTTTGTTTACTCATAATTGTGTGAAGGTTTGTTGTTTCTCTCTTGACTGTGGCTCCTGCTTTCTATCAGCTCATTTATCTTCTCTTTTAAAGGGTTTCAGGGGAACATCTGGTTCTGATTTCCGTCTTGACAGTGATGCCGAGCTGCAAAGTTTCCTTCAGTAAATCTATCCGACGGCTGATAGTTGTTCACAGATCGGTTATTTTTTGAAGGAGACATAATGGACTCGCTGTCTGGATCTGATCCCTTCGCACTGTGAAACCCACCTTCATCAATATCAGACCTTTAGAGCGCATAGCGAGCGAGAAGAGTCCAGTAAACACAACACAAAGCCTGACCAAGTGCTAATTTTGCCTAAAGACGCAGTTCATTTTGCATTATACACGTAACCAGCAGAGGTAGTTGGCTCTAATTGGAAAGTACTCTTTGGCTGGTAGTCGACCCCTGGTCGGTCTTTAGTGGATCCTTTGTCGGCCTGTAGTTTGCCTGTGGTTAGCCTGGGGTTAGCCTGTAGTTTCCCTGTGGTTAGCCTGTGGTTGCCTCGTAGTGTGGCATTGGCTGGCCTGTAGTTTGCCTGTGGTTATCCTGTAGTTAGCCCTTAGTTAGCCTGTAGTTTGCCTGTGGTTATCCTGTAGTTGGCCCTTAGTTAGCCTGTAGTTTGCCTGTAATTAGCCGGTGGTTGCCTCGTAGTGTGGCATTGGCTGGCCTGTGGTTAGCCTGTGGTTAGCCTGTAGTTTGCCTGTAGTTTGCCTGTGGTTTCCCTGTCGTTAGCCCGTCGTTAGCCCGTCGTTAGCCCGTCGTTAGCCCGTCGTTAGCCTGTAGTTTGCCTGTAGTTAGCCCGTCGTTAGCCCGTCGTTAGCCTGTAGTTTGCCTGTAGTTAGCCCGTCGTTAGCCTACCGTTTGCTCGCAGTGTGCCCGTCGTTAGCCTGCCGTTTGCTCGCAGTGTGCCCGTCGTTAGCCTGCCGTTTGCTCGCAGTGTGCCCGTCGTTAGCCTGCCGTTTGCTCGCATTGTGCCAACGGTCGCCTGGTAGCGTTTCTTTTCAAGCGTTTGCAGAGGAACTTGTGCGCACAGCGGCGCTTTGTTGTTACGCAGCGGCGAGCCGACCGCTTTCACTCCTTTTGAGTCCTTGTTTGGAGCACAAAGAGCGTCTGAGGGGGGAAACCTGGAGTCCATGTTTTTATTCCATGTGAACTTTTCAAAGTGGAAGAAGAGAAAGTACTGAAGCAGACTGAGCTCTCATGGACAACAGCAGGAACCCTCCCTGCCTCCGAGGGCTTTAACGGCTTACCTCACTGCGCTCCACGGTCTCCATTACTCTCCTGCGTCCTCGCCTCTGGTGTGTGTGTGTGTGTGTGTGTGTGTGTGTGTGTGTGTGCGTGTGTGTGTGTGTGCGTGTGTGTGTGTGTGTGTGTGCGTGCCTCAGGGTTAATGTGTTTCACATGTGGAGATCTGGGAGAAGCGTCGCTGAGTAAATGACGAGTGTCGTCTTTTCTCGCCCCAAGTTTAGTTGAAAGGTTTGTTTTCTTTAGTCTTCAATCATGAATTATTTATTGCGTAACATCCACATTTTTTAAGATACTTTGAAGTGTCTTAAAAATAGAATTTAATGGTTAAACCGAACAGGCATTTCTGTCTGGAGAAGCTTTGTTATTGACCTTGGAAATAGCGGTTTGATGACACATTGATCTCTAGTTTCTTATTTCTGCGGAGCCTTCCAGCAGTGCAGACAGTCCAGACACCGTGTGAGGTTAAAAGGAGGGTTTTCCTTCTGCGAAACACATCAATGCTAAAAGTCAAGAAGGTTTGTGGGTTTTTTCACCTTTTCAGTTTTTCACCACAATCGACTTTATTGATCTGAGTTCTGCTTTGTGTCGCCTCTAAAGTTTGTCCCAAGTGTTTGAAATAACAAAATTGATTTAATAGAAGTGAGCATCCACAGGCCGAGGGGCTGAAACGAGTTTAGAAAGCGCTCTGAAAGCGCGAAAACCACGACGAGCACTTAAACGCAAACCCACAGCTGCCTTATAGATCGGAGTTTTGGGCAGTTTGTACAAGTGCAATCGTTTCTAAAAGACCGTGAAAGATTAACGGCTGATTGAAGGATAGACGCTTGTAGCCCGACATGATTATTTAATACAAATCACACACACACAC